GTGCTCTTCCGATCTTCTAGTCTCAAGTAGCGAGGTGGATACGCTGCTCGTAGGACATGACAAGTTGAAAAGTATATTCCATATGCTTCTCGTGTGTATAGTATACATTAGTGATTTAGTATTTGAAATATTTCTGTATAAGTAATTTCAATAATCAATAGCTGCCCTAATGTCTAAAGGACTGAAACATTGCTGCTACATATGTATCATATAGGCATGTAGCAATTAGGATATTTATGTTGTTGTGGCTCTTATTAACACGAAGTAATGGTGAAGCAGTGTGTGTGTGTGTGTGTGTATGTGTGTGTGTGTGATCCGTGTTTACTTGCCGCGTGGAAAAGAACGTGTACCTGTAGTAGAGAGGCCTTCCCCTCGACTGCGACTTCGGTGCAAGGAATGTAATCCTTCGCCTGAAAGACAATATTGTTCCAATAAATGTCAATTTTACGTACAATAACGTGTATCGTTCGAATCGACGCATAAAAATTCAAATGATATAATCGCTGCGAAATTACCCTTGCTAACACTCCTGCGCATTGATGTGGATGGTGTAGATTCTTGCTTGGTATAGCTTCTAAGCGCTCTTCCTCGTCTGTCTTGAATTAGCTTATCCATCTTAACGAAAATACCACATTTGGGTCGACATGTGAAATATCTATGGCCATTGACAGCACCATCATTCTTACCTATAACAGCGAAACGTGAAAATGTTTAAAACTAGTTCTACTTACGAAAGCTAGATAAAATTTCAGAGAGAGGGAAAGAAATTTTCGTACCAGTCGGAGCATCAAGTTCAACTCCTATCCAGCTTCCCGATGCAAATTCTGTAGGGCCAACATATGCTATAACTCCGGAATAACTATAAGGGCGAACCAAAACTGATTCTCCGACAACGATCCAGTCTGGTAAAGGAGCTTCCACTCGAGTTAAATCGTGCCTTGAACCAAACGCTGAACTTTTATCACAAACGTCATCCGCTGCAAAAAAAAATTTTTTTTAAATGAGATACAAAAATGAAGGAAATCATATATGGTGTATAATCTCTCAAGAAATAAAGCGAATATAGTCACATAGAAAACTATGCGAGGAATTGCTGAAAACTAATTGGTTGAGCTAAAACAGTACCGTCGATTCTCTCCGAAGAGCTGTTGTCGCCATTTTCATATGGCATATTAGGTTGTAGCGTTTGTTCCAAATGTACTGCAGCTTTACTCTCAGAAAGTTGTGGACGGACCATAGGAAACGAAGCTCTCTGATGCGAACTGGTAGGCCTTCCTGTATTATTAGAAGTCTTTCTTCTTCGCATGACCTAATTAATTAAACATGAATCATTTATCGAATGACCGCACAATCCAGAAGAAATTATTTTTACATTTTTATGATTTGTCAAATTGAAGATGACGGCGGTTTTTCTCTCTTTTTCTCTGATTACATAAAATATAAAATATATAAACCATACCTTGCCAGGTGGCAGTTTGGTATGTACAATCCAAGTCCCTTCCATGGGACTATCGTCTCCTGAATTAGAGGTTTGACTGATTTCCATTTCGTTTTTTCTGTCACTGACGATGAGAATCTGATCGGCGGGTGTATTTTTTCTTTGAGTCTCGACATGGAACATGTTGCTATTGGTTTCGCTTTCACTCTTTGTAGAAGAAATTGGGCTATCGATATCAGTATCCATGCACGTTCCCGTTTCTTCCAGATTTTTTCTAGTGTGTTGTTCTATAAAACGAAAAGCTATGTATTTGCAACGGAATAATATCGATATCTAAAACGACTGTTTCTCGTAGCTGACATAATTACTACTACTACTACTACTACTACTACTACTATTACTACTACTACTACTACTACTACTACTACTACTACTACTACTACCACTACTACTACTACCACTACTACTACTACTACTACTACTACTACTACTACTACTACTAGTACTACTACTACTACTATTACTACTACTACTATTACTACTACTACTGACCCTCCGTGCAAGCGCTTTGCGAAATGTTCAAATTATCCAACGCAGAATTTACTTCGCTCAAGTACTCCTCGGGTGTTTCCTCGACGAGGGAACTATCCATTTTCTCGGGTTTTTTACTATCGAGAAGATTACGATATTCAAGGTCTGGAGTCTCATCCACGCTGATGGATTTGATAGAAATGGAATCTTCCGATGTAAGATTTGTCGTGGAAACAGCTTGAGAACCGTATCCGCTGCTACTCATACTTGGCGTATTGATCTTCGTTGATTGTAGCTCGACCAAAGAATCCAACGTGCGTGAGGAAGTTAGCGGCTTTACTGGTTTCGGTGGAGCCTGAGTGAGTAAGTGAAAGTGTGATATGGCTTTGATTCAATTACAATGAACAATCACGATCACAATTGCACATTATTACAAGGTGATTGATCTCCGTTGCAGTTACAAGTCAATGAATTGATGAAATAATCCAAATATCGTAATTTATTAACACATTGTTTTTATTGTGATTCAATTTTGTTTTTTAAATAAATATTTTTGATTAAAAAATTAGACACTACCTGATATGCCTCATATTCAGAATAATCGGCGTCGCTTTTCTCCTCGTCATCGTCGTTGATAGGAGTAGACGCTTGATTCCCCACATTTTCCTCGTGTAATGTGGTCATACGAGGACCCAGTTTACTACTGACAATGTTCGGAGATGCTACAATCAATACAATTAGATTAATAACACGTGATATACAAAACGAATATTGTTTTATAGCCGATCAGGGCCGATCTGGCCATTCTAATAACTTAATCTTATTAATTTTGCAAAATAGTTATTTTTATTCGCAATCCTTATTTTTAATAGATATATTATTGGATGCTGACGGGTTTATACAATAAAAATGTTATATACTGAAAGGTGCCAGGTCGGTTCTGACGAACATTTACAACAAATATGAAGGATCATGCTTTTCCTAAAAATAACATAAAAATTTTACATATTCCACGCTTATTAATTTATATAATATAACCAACTATATAAGAATATGTATTTTTAAGCTCGGCAGATCGTGTTAATAGTGTTCAAATAATTTAAATATTAAATAATTGTAATCTAGATAATAAAAGCGTAGAATATATAATCTGAAATAAAGAAATAAATCACAATGATCGACAGGATAATTGTAAGTAACAAATATTCAACATATATGTATATGTGTGTGTATGTACGCGTGCACGCGCGCAAACACACACATACACAATATACATACTGCACTTTAAGCGCAGTACAGTAACACTTCAATGATGATGATGATCACAAAACCATCTAAAATAAAAAACACACTTAAAATAAAACAAATATTACTTGGGGGTGTACTACATTAGTTTCTAATAGTTGAAAACCAAGAAAACTAAACTACAAATATGTTGACCGAGTTTTATCCTTTCAAACTGTATCACATTAGAATTCTCTTTTAATTGTTGTCATTCTAATCTAACTTTCTCTCAACATTCAGACTTAGTTCAAGAATAAAGTTTGAAAGGATGATCGCGACGACGAGTGTCACCTACACTTGGCAGAGGTAGATTGTTGAAGACGTGTCAATGAGTTGAGATTCAGGTTCAGATTCAGGAAAGTTGGTCTCGCTGAAAGGAGATAGATGCACTGATTACACTTCTTTTCCCTTCATTCGAGTAGTTAACGATACTTTCCCCATAATGGCGAGCTTCATATCGGCTTTTATCAACTTATATACTGACAAATCATGCCTGCAGGCCACAGACACTAGATGGTGAGACAAGTAGACAAATAACGTATATTATCTAACACGCATTCTATATGGAAGTTCCATTATGCATGTATATCATGTCATCATCATGTCGATATCATTAATTGAAACATCAATGTTTATGACACAGCTTTTTTTTGCACCATACCTCGCATTTTGGGAACAACTTTAATAACTCGCCATTGAACGAATTCAAAATGCACATATCGAAATATGTCATGTATTTTGTATGTCGCTATCTTTGCGACAAATGCAACGAAAAATACATATTAATAGTATATATCGTAATATAATATATATAATGATAAACACGCGATATAATTCGATAACAATGCACAATGAATTTAAGGTCATGTTTTCAGAGATGGTAAGTTTAAAGTCGAAGATAATGATATATTTTATTATATTGATATACTTAATTATATATCGCGATAATTATTATATCTCGTTTGAAATTTAATATATAACTAATCTTTTCTCTAGCTTTTTGATATTTTTGTGTACGATCATTTTCACATTTATAAAAATGTATCCCTGGCTTAAAATTGAGTCTTCTTTCGTATAGGAAAGAAAACGAGGAGTTTATATTTATCATGTTATTCTGTGACTTATTTTGAACATATAAAAAAAAAATATATATATATATATATATATATATTGATTTCATAGATTCCCCTCCTCCTCCTCTCCTATAATCTTTGCTTACAGCAGGTTTACTCTGTCCTTTTTATACAGATTTATTAATTAATAATCTATTAATCGCACACTACATAATATAATGAAAATTTAGATATTTATACGGAATTATGTATGCATTATCCACATATATACACATAATATATATTTAAACACAGAGAGAATAAACCTCACTTTATGTGTATTAAGTATAGAATATATACACATATATGTTGCAATAAATGTTCTACACTCTATCTAGAGTATCGCTCAATAACACATTCAAAAATATATATAATAAAGATTGAAACATTGCAACAATTTTCACGTATATAATGCAATAGTTCAATCCTTTTTTATTACTTTACATGTTTTAATTAATTTGTTAAATGCAAATGTGTGTGTAGGTGTGTGTGTGTGTGTGTGTGTGTTTAGCATACATTTAACAAATTATTAAAGATTATAGAAATCATCTTGATTGATCCGAACATTTATTTAAAAAGCAAGGTTTTAAGAATCATAGTCTTATTACGAATTATGAAAATAGATATATATGGATATGAAAATGATTTCTATGCGATGATTCTGGTAATAACGGTGCGACAGCAGAGGTAAATGTGTGTATGTGCGTGCGTGTGTGTATGTAAACCCATGTGTACGCATGTGTTGCATAACAGCACAGTATACACCTAAACACATACACATACGCACACATAATTGCATATACATTGTTGTTGTTTTACATTGGTATTAATTGTGAGCAATATATGTAGATCAAATAGTTACTAAAATAAATAAGAGAAGTAAACAGTTAAACAAACTTGCTAATATGCTAGTAGGCACGCAAGAAATACATTCTATGCATGCAAACTAAACAAATACTGAAATATAATATACTGAAACATAATGAAATCGCATTCGATTTATTAAATAAAACAAGAGATTAACACAACAATTTCTAAGCCTCCTCGACATGATGACACCAAACTTGTTTTGTGAGCCAACTAAACCGAATAAATGACGCTTACGAAAGAACATATACTATTTGTCAAAAACGCATTCCCGTTCTGAAGATTAGACTATCGCGAAAAACTCTGATGTACTAAGGCAAACTTTGAAATAAAAAAGACAGACAGACTCAACCACTCACGAGACATATGTACTAATTGTCATTGCCTGTGTGGCATCAATTAAATAGGTATCAAATCAAGACTCCATTTTACCTGAGTTCAGAATGGAGCCTTGCGTGGGCCGAAATAGTTGTAGAAGTAGTAGACGTAGTGTTAAACAGAGGAACAGATTAGTTGCATACATTAATTAGGTGATATTCATTAATTTTGCCGTATAATTTATTTAAAGTTAGTTTGTTAGTGTTTTATATTTTATTGCAATAAGTGGTAGAGCGCACTTAAATGTATAGCTGCTAACACTAGGGCAAATCTGAGAGAAGGTAGATATTACCATGCTCAACTCTTTTCGTCATCAAATGATCGTGTTGAAATTATTTATTCGATACGATTTCAATAGATTATTAGTATCAGTGGG